CACATCCTCATATGGGCCATAGAAGGTCCCCCCTGGGAAAGTGGGTTTATAGCAGCCCGAGCTCTCATAAAGGACTGCAAAGGACCGCAAACGAATATCCCGAAGAACGTAGAGCCCGCGTCCGGGCCCGTGTCGCAGACGTGACAGTCTAATTTTTCGATATAATAGCGGATATAGGCCGTTTTCACTCCATTTATCTCTAAATTTGGAGAGGAAAACGGTGCACATTACTGAGTGACCTAAAATTCGCTGCCACGAACCGGTGATGGACGAGCTCAAGTCATACACAGCAAGATCATTTCCTTTGATTATCGTCAATTTCCTATCAACAACATGTGATTAAGTACTCTTTTGTTTCTCTGGTATTGCGGGGGTCACGAGGTGGTCATGGCATCGTCTCGAGCCTTAGTCCCTTAAATTTCCGCACCAACAGTCACAAGGTTTAACATATTTTTGCACTCACAGAGTCTTTTAGCTGATTTAAACATGATAGATCGGAGATTTCTTCGCGTTCTTCTCGCAGTTCTTTTCGCCTGCACGGTTCTTCCAAGTTTGCTTTTCAAGTTGATATCATCACCGTCATCAGCTGAAGAGGAGGAGCCCACAGAGCTGAGCTATAATCTCTCCCAAAGTCGAAATAATCGTTCGGCAAATATAAGTACAAGCGAAATAGGTTTATTCATCAGTTGTAAAAAGCCACCCTTAGATGACTTTCCTTCGGATGTAATGACCCAACAGCAGAGACAGAAAGGTGGAGTCGCTTTGCACGTTTTTTTGGCATTTTACATGGTCCTTGCGATAGCAGTCGCCTGTGAAGACTACTTTGTTCCTTCCCTCGAACAGATCACCGACAAGTTGCAAATGAACTCCGATGTTGCCGGTGCTACTTTGATGGCCGTTGGAAGCTCTGCTCCTGAATTTTTTACCTCTAGTATCGGCGCTTTCATAACAAAGAGCGATATTGGCCTTGACACTATAGTAGGATCTTGCACCTATAATATTCTCTTTGTAGTGGCTGTTTCTGGTCTGGCTTCTGGCTCTGCTGTTCGCATGTCACGGTGGTCTCTGTTGCGTGACTCATTGTGTTACTTACTGAGTATTGTAGCCCTGGTTGTAATCTGTAACGACAAGAAAGTGTACTGGTACGAGGCATTTGTGATGGTCTGCATGTACTTACTTTACACTATTTTTATGTACTTTAACGAGCCCCTTCAAAACTACTTTCATAGGATTGGTACGAGTGACAGTGAAAGCGTTCTCGCCAACGATGCTAGCAGTGAGAAAAAAGGATTACTTCCGAAAGAAGATGAGAGCTCTCGATCATTTTCAGTTGACATCCAATACAGTCAAGAGGTTAAAGAAACAGACGAAAATAACGCTTCGCCGTTTTTGTTTCCTCAAGGAACTATTTCACGGGCTCTGTGGATAATCGCTCTGCCAATCAAGTGCCTGTTTTTCCTCACAATTCCCGATTGCCGCAAAGCGAGGTGGGAAAATTGGTACCTCGTCTCATTCACCGTTTCGCTGATATGGATCGGATCTTTTACTTATGGCCTGGTCTGGATGGTAACAATCATTGGTTTTACGGCTGGTATCCCCACTGTCATCTTCGCCTTCACTCTCCTGGCCGCAGGATGCAGCGCTCCTGAATGTCTCTCAAGTGCAATAGTCGCAAGAAAAGGTTATGGTGATATGGCTGTCGCTCAAACTCTGGGGAGCAATATATTTGACATTTTGCTCTGTCTAGGACTCCCCTGGTTCCTGAGAACCGTAGTAGAGGGGGATCACGTAAATGTTGTAAGCGGCAGTATATTCTACAGCACCCTTTGTCTGTTTGGAACAGTGATTTTGCTAATATTGTGCTTGATTTTGAACAAATGGTATTTGAATAAGTTTCTTGCAGTAATACTCTTCTTTTTTTACATGTGCTATGTTTCAATCGCCACCCTTTTTGGGCTTAATGTGTTTGGAGATTTTAACCGACCAACATGTAAGAGATAATTGAAGACACTAATGGCCAAAGAACCCTTTTGTACTCACAGGCAGCCCAACAAATCTTGTTGGTGTCTTTCGGATGTCTTACAGTCTCATCAATTAGAAAGATAGCTAAATTGACCTATCAAGCTAAAACACATTGACCTGTTGCATCAACTGGCACCGACGAGACGATGTAATTTTCAGTGGTTGATCTTATAACTGGCAACCAAGTTTTTGTTCATGTTAGATAAGCTCTGGATAAGTTACAATAACAAGAAAATCCTGAAAAAACTACATTTTACGTAGCCATAGAAAGATCAAAATTTTAGCCAAAGTTGGGTTTATCTACAGCTCATGTCAGGCTTGTACATAACATGTCAGGTGACTTATTTTTTAGTAATTTCGGCGGGTTTTTTTCATTGTGACTGTGTAGCGGTATTAAAGGGGGAGAGGTTAGCGCACAAAAGCCTCCGGTTATTCTGAGTTGCGAATCTTTTTCTTTTCAGTTTTAATAAAAACACTTCCAATAGCCGTTCAAATATTTTGTTTCCTAAAAAATATTATCGCCTGTTTACTAATAAAGGTAACTGGTTTTAGCAAGTTACGGTAAGCAGTTTCTTGTCATTACTTGTTTGGTTTAGCTATATGAAACAAAGAGTAACTAAATTCAGCCTGCGTAGCAAGCGTTTCCGTGCGGTTTCGGAGCAAAAAACGAGGAACGAGAGATCGAGTCAAAGTAGTAGTATAAACAAATAATAGCACATGAATAGCATGATTTGTACGTGATATTTGGCATGAGTACAACTTACGATATTTCAAAATTGTCTCAAATTACGTATAGCAATTTCGAAATATCACTTGTGGTATTTATGCCAATTAAAAAAATTGTTCTAATAGTCGGTGATTTTTTTCGGTCAGCTGTTTCTTGTCGATTGGATGACTCGACAGGCTCAGCATTTGCGTGACCTTTCGCGTGCAAAATAACGGAGTTTCTCGTCTGTCCCTTTTTCTTCCCGTTATCAAGTAAATAGCATTACACTCACTATAGTCTCTCCTTTTTCGAGAAAGAACCATGATCAAGAGGCGTTTAGGCTACTGACGTGGCCGTTATGGTATTATGACAGATTTGTTTGTTTGTCCTTTTTTTCGCGCACCTGGAATCTCCGGGACAAGAGTTTTCGAGAGCAAACGCGTCTTTTCCGGATTTGGCCGCACGCGATGTTAGTACACCGAGGTAAGTGATGGTGGGCGAAGCGACGGTTTCCTCCTAATGAAATTGAAACAACTTTTCAGGCAATCCAGAGTAATTTTAGATCTGTAGAAATGCATTCCAAGCGGCGCTATAAAAATTGTATCTCTTTGGTCCCCAGGGCTAGGGAAACTTGAGTTTTTTCGAAATTACGAGGCTTAGGGCTTCAGTGTTAATTTCCCAAAAATTTTAGATGCAATTTAACGTATTACGAACTAGGTAATCGGCTCCTGTCTTCATCACATTCTTGAATCCTAAAATTTGAGGTTTCCTTTTTTCTGCGAAAAATAGCCTAACCTGAGGAGTTTAGTGTTAACGGTTAGGTTAGGCTATTCGTAGAAAAAAGGAAACCTAAATTTTTTTGTAAAATATCTGTTTGGAGAAGCAGATGTTGCCTAGAATTTATTAGATAAGCTTTGAAAATCGGTACATGAATGGAACGGTCATCTAGAAATTTTTAGCCGTCCTTCTAGGTAACATCTGCTTCTCCGAACAGATGTTTTACAGAAAACAGTCCTCGGTGCCCGTATTCCCCTTTGGAAACTATCATGTTTTACTGGTATTATGTACAGAGCTATCATGACCATTGGCCCCCGCTTTTGGCACGATGATGGGGACTGACTCTTCTCAGTAAGTTTATCAAAGGGAAATTCGAATTCTGCTGTTGCGTGCCCACGTAAAAATTACGCTACAGAGGAATACACCTTTACACTGCTCATGCCGAGCTATCTATTTCAGCTTGATATATATTTAACCGTTTTGCCGTTATTCCTGCTGTCATTTTTAAGAGACTCTTGTTTGCCGGCAAATCTAATGTTTTTTTTTTTTTTTGAAAAAAAAATTGCTTAAATGTGGTCAAATGGGCTGTTTTGTTCTTGAAGGTAGGAAGCCTTGTCGATTAATTGAGTGGATTTGCCAAAACGTGTGAAACGTGCTCGTGCCTGATCGAGCAAGCCACCATAGAGGGTCACAATGGGGTTAACCGATAGGCGTAAAACGGCCTTAAATTTAGTCGATAGCCGTAAAAATTGAAAAAAATTTAACCGTTAGCCGTAAATAGGGTAAAAAGAGTTAATCGTAATAGAAATTGTTCCCTAGCAGGTTTGTTAATTTAAGAAAGGCCCGGTAAACTCACTTATGGTTACGTTTTATGTGGCGGCTACTTTGACTCCGTACGCACGTTAGGCCAAGCCTTTTATGTAACTTAGACCTAAACTCTATTTTCGCCGCTCTCTCGGAGAAATAATTTTTTCCATAGCGAAAATTTTGCTTTTTGCTGGGGATTAATATTTGCGACTTTCAGGAAGTCGAGCCCTCGAAATACTAGTGAAACAACACGCAGAGATATGTCACTGTTTGTAAAACACGTTGCCGATAAACAGCAATTCCCTGTTTTTCTCTAACGCTACGGTAGACATTGCCATGCCTAGTCCCCCTGAGGCGTCTTCCCACGCAAGGCATTTCAGTGGCGTTTCTGCGAAAAAAATCTCGCTCTGACCAGGTGACCCGAAACGCATTAGCCGCGCGGAATAATGAGGTGATGATCTATCAGATGTTAAAATTTTTTTTAAAAAAAATAGGATTTCATCCCGAGATGATCCTAAGACCTTTATTTTGCTTTAAAGATACAAAAAATACAGGTTTATTAATATTTAACTCTTTGAAACAAAAGAAATTAATCTTTAACTTTTTTGTTAACCGTAGCTGAAAAATATTAACCGATAGCCGTAAAAGAGCCAAAATTTTAGCCGATAACCGTAAAAGCCACCACCCCTTTGAGACCCTCTTATCGCTTAAAAACAAGCTCTATAAAAGTAACCATTTTGAAAACCAAGAGCGCGACCATTGCTTTTTGTCTCTTTTCCTCGTCCCCCTTCTCCTCACAGCTTTGGGGTAAAAGGTTCCTTTTCTTTTCCTGCGGGATCAGTAGACATACAGTTGCTTATCTATTAGGCGGTATTGCTCATTATTGCACTCCTGTTCCAGCGTCTTCAGTCAGTCGGGATGAACGAAAGGCCTTTTCATCTTAGTGAAGCATTCCAAACTTCTGAATCTTCCGAAATCAAATTTATCACGATCTGAATAGTGGGAATTATTTTCGGAATAAGTTCTTGTCACTGTCTTGTGTTCTTTCGATTAAAACTAGTACTCACTGTATAGATTTAGCCTTTGCATTGTATTCTTTGCCCCAAATAAGATTCTTGACTTGTTTTTACATAAAGTTCAGCACTACTACTACTACTAGTACTACTAGTACTCCATGCAGTTAAACTTGGTTTTCATTCATTATTGCTAGCTCTAGCATCTCAATCTCGTATGAAAAGAGTAACGATTAAAAAAGAAAAAGAAGAAGCAGAAATGGGAGAAATATGATATTTGCTTGCTGAGAGGGTCACAATGGGGTTAACCGATAGGCGTAAAACGGCCTTAAATTTAGTCGATAGCCGTAAAAATTGAAAAAATTTAACCGTTAGCCGTAAATAGGGTAAAAAGAGTTAGTCGTAATAGAAATTGTTCCCTAGCAGGTTTGTTAATTTAAGAAAGGCCCGGTAAACTCACTTATGGTTACGTTTTATGTGCCGGCTACTTTGACTCCGTACGCACGTTAGGCCAAGCCTTTTATGTAACTTAGACCTAAACTCTATTTTCGCCGCTCTCTCGGAGAACTAATTTTTTCCATAGCGAAAATTTTGCTTTTTGCTGGGGATTAATATTTGCGACTTTCAGGAGGTCGAGCCCTCGAAATACTAGTGAAACAACACGCAGAGATATGTCACTGTTTGTAAAACACGTTGCCGATAAACAGCAATTCCCTGTTTTTCTCTGACGCTACGGTAGACATTGCCATGCCTAGTCCCCCTGAGGCGTCTTCCCACGCAAGGCATTTCAGTGGCGTTTCTGCGAAAAAAATCTCGCTCTGACCAGGTGACCCGAAACGCATTAGCCGCGCGGAATAATGAGGTGATGATCTATCAGATGTTAAAATTTTTTTTAAAAAAAATAGGATTTCATCCCGAGATGATCCTAAGACCTTTATTTTGCTTTAAAGATACAAAAAATACAGGTTTATTAATATTTAACTCTTTGAAACAAAAGAAATTAATCTTTAACTTTTTTGTTAACCGTAGCTGAAAAATATTAACCGATAGCCGTAAAAGAGCCAAAATTTTAGCCGATAACCGTAAAAGCCACCACCCCATTGAGACCCTCTGCTGAGCACCTAATAGGGAGCTTAAGCATCAACGTTTTTGAGCGACGCACGTCAACCGGAAGTGGCCTTTTTTCATTTTTTGACGGTGGTTTCGCGCAAATTTTCAGTCAAATCGCCTCTATAACAGTAAAGAAGCTAAGGAATACAAATTTTATATCATCAAGGCATGTTAACAGGGAAAATACCTCACTTCCGGTTGACGTGCGTCGCTCAAAAACGTCGCTGCTTAAGCTCCCTAATAACTCGTGACTGGAACGGACTTGATGTGTTCAGTCGTGCCCATCCTGTTAGGGGATGCCGCTGGCAGGAATTACCGGATTTTTATGGTAATCTTATCCCTGATATGGGTGGGGTGATCAAGAATCCAACATGCTCCTTCACATTTATTATAATACTTTTTTAAAGTGAAAAAAGTCATTTATGCAGATTTATTTATTTGTAGATAGAGAAATAGTGATCCATACTTGCACTATATGACAAATTTACGACCGATTTCGAAGGGATTGTCGTCGTTCGACAAGCTGCAACTTGTCATTTGCTAAACTTATATAACACTATCGTGTTTCTTTTTTAAGATTCGGATGAACGTGTTGACCCCCGTTTTCATGCAACGGCTCGGCACACGATATTGCTCAATCTTAGTGTTAAATGAAAGGTCGGCTCAAGTCAGTGCTTTAAGTTCTGAGGCTCAACTGCTTCTTGTTTCCAAGCGTGTTTTACAAGTTGTTTTAAGACGTGTCGTCGCAACAATCAAGCCATTCTGGACTTTATCTTGCGGTGAGTCAGGAGAACAATGGAGGTAGAAATAAACAAAAGCATTCCTTACAAGCCATCCGTCGAAAACTTTCCACTAGATTTTATGACACCAGACCGGAGACGCCATGGGGGCATCGTCTCTCACTTTCTGATAGCGCTTTATATGTTTGGTGCCTTAACTTTGGTCTGCGATAAGTACTTCATTCCCTCTCTGGAAAGCATCACCCACAAGTTCAAGGTGCGCTCAGATGTTGCCGGGGCCACGTTTATGGCCGCCGGTGGTTCGGCAGCTGAGCTGTTTATCTGCATCGTTGGTGTTTTTGTGGCCAAAAACGACATTGGCCCTGGAACTGTTGTGGGATCCGCGGCGTTTAACCTTCTGTTTGTCGTGGGTTTATGTGGTCTGTTTGCTGGCTCAGTCCTGCGTTTGTCACGCTGGTCCCTGTTGCGTGACTCATTCTGTTACCTGTTAAGTATTGGCGCCCTGGTCGCCATCATTTTCGACGGGAAAGTATACTGGTACGAGGCATTGCTGTTGGTCTGTATGTACTTATTTTATGTTGTTATTATGTACCATAATCAAACCATTGAAGAGTTCTTCTTTAATAAGTTAACAAAAGTCACTGAGAAAACAAGTCAAAGAAGCAGTGACGTCGAAAAGAATGAAGAAGATGACGAGAAAACGAAATTGCTCTCAAATGAAAAAGAAGGCAAAAACCTCAGGCAAGATGAGAAACACCTACTTGTCACCGAACCTCAAATTCAAGTTCAAATCAATCAAAATGATGAATCACCTTTTTCATTTCCTGAAGGAACTTTTCAGAGATTCTTGTGGTTAATGAAGTTACCCGTCCAGTGCTTGATGTTCCTGACAATTCCCGACTGCCGTACAGACAGATGGGAGAAGTGGTATTTTGTCACATTCATTATGTCTCTGATATGGATCGGATTGTTCTCTTACATCCTGGTTTGGATGGTGACCATAATCGGCTTCACGCTTGGCATCTCTGATGTTATAATGGGCCTTACCTTTTTGGCGGCAGGAGGCAGTGTGTCTGATGGAATATCCAGCCTTATAGTTGCTCGTCAAGGCGACGGGGACATGGCTGTCGCTAACGTATTTGGAAGCAATTTATTTGACATTTTGTTATGCCTAGGACTCCCTTGGCTTTTTAAGACCTCACTTATTGACTCTGGAAGCCATGTGAACGTGGAGGATGGCCACGTGATTTACACGTTACTTTGCCTTTTGGCAGGGGTGATCTTAGCAATACTCTCTATAAAGCTCAACAAATGGTGTTTAAGTAAGTTTCTTGGCTTATTTTTTCTTGTCTTTTTCACTACCTTCGTCACCGTTGCAGTCCTCTGTGAATTTTACTTGCGCTGAAAGTTTTTAACCTATCTTATACCACAGGCAGCCCAAACTCTGTGGGAGTTCGGTGGACTTTGAATTTATAAGAGAATGTATGAAAATAAACAAAATACGTCCTAAATTCCATTTTTCGACGAAAATAGAAATAAAAATGACTTACCTTGTGTTTGTGTTTGTGTTTTGTTATTTACTGTCTCTTCGCCTCTAGAGCCATTTGGAAGGAAGAAGTTTTTATCGACGTTTAAGATTCTTACTGTTAGTACTACTCAAAATGTTAAACGTCGATAAAACGGCTTCTAAATGGCTCTAGAGGCGAAGAGACAGTAAATAACAAAACACAAACACAACGTAAGTCATTTTATTTCTATTTTTGTCGAAAAATGGAATTTAGGACGTATTTTGTTTTTTTCCATACATTCTCTTATAACGAACTCCCACAGAGTTTGGGCTGCCTGTGCTTATACCTTGGGTCTTATACACTGTCTAAAACAGTTAGAAACAACAACGTTGTACAGTATAGGCAAATTTAGTGAATATACTGATTCAGTCAACTCTCTTTAAAGACGGAAATCTTTGCATAGGACCTGCACAAAGTCTATAAAGATCAAGAACGGCTGTGCTCGAACTAACTTGGCTTGGTGTATGTGTTTTAGAAGCACCGGGGGGTACTCCCTTATATAAGCCATACAGGTATGTGTAGGGCTTTCCACAAGTTGCTCGAGATTTTCCAAACAGTTTCCCGTGATTTCTCAAGAAGTTGCTCAAAAAACAATCAAAAGTTACTTTTTGTAACGAAAGTTGCTCAAAAGTTGCTCGAGAAAAACAAAAACTAGTTTATGGTCTGGTGCTAAAATATGCAAACTGTACAACAAAAGTAAAATTTCTAAGAATTCTTTGTGCAATTTTGCTGCGTTAGTAGCCTTACTGAATAACTTTATCTTCAATAAAACCAAAAAATATAATGAGCCAATAAAATTTGAATGACCAGGTCTTCCGGCCCAAAACACTCAAGTCAGTCAAGTGTGAATCTTCGTCCACCATTTTGAATTTTCTCTGAAGACTGCTGACCTAGCAGCCCGGCTACTATTATCTTGCGTCACATGATCTGCGCCAGCGAAAAGGGGGGTGGGGGATTTGGCTCCTTTTTAAGGGAAATTTATAAAATTGTCCACTAAACCATTGTGAAATATGGAAGAAAGGCCAATTTAAGCACTAAAAGCAAGAGATCTCTCTTGCTAAAAGCTGCTCCAATATCTTAGAATTAGAAGATAACTAGAGAAATTGCTCTGAATGGAAAAATTTGCTCGAAACGAAAAAAGTTGCTCGAAATACGAGAAGTTGCCAAAAAGTTGCCGAGCAACTTGTGAAAAGCCCTAGGTATGTGCCGCCCCAAAGGATATGGTTTTTGCGTCGTTTTAACCTGCGAGCCAGCTCTCCTATTTGGGCGAGCGAAGCGAGTCTCGCGAGAACGTGCGAGTGAGCGGCGTAGCACGTTCTCGCGAGGCTCGCCCAAGTAGGAGAAAACGGGTATAGAATTTTTCCCATTTTGGTCTGGAATGGGGTATGCTCGAGCGTGCTACTGAAGGCATAAATGTATTTGTTTCAATTCCAAAGGTTTCAGAAAGAGAGTATTAAATATGCAAATTCGAAATGGATATTTAGAAATCGCGTTTTCCTGCCGTTCTAATCTAAGTAATTAATAAACGATTTTTAGAGACCAGGTCTGAAATCGGGTGTGGATTTTAAAGGCTAGGTCTGAAAACAGGTGTGGAAAATCACATTTTTTGGTAGCAGGAGGAGCCCATACGCAAAGGTTCCTGGCAAGGTCTCCGCCTGAACGGCAACCAAGAAGCCCCAAGGTCAATTCTATTTTGACTCCTACTTGAACATATACAAGAGCCATAAAACGGCTCTTAACATGTAATATTATTACAGAGGGGCTCTGAGGGTAATTATCAGTGAGTTACATTATAACCTGATAGATACATAGATACACAAAAGTATGCTGAAGGAAGACAAAAGAAAAACGAGATTTTGTAAAATGTAGAAACAAAAATAGGAAAAAGGAAAGAAAATCATGTCAATTCTAGATTGATTGTGTGGAGTTTGGGACACAAAATAGTTCATTAAACTAACCTCTGAGGTGATTCAAATCAAAAGTATGCATGGGCCAAAGGAATAAAGCGAAAAAATAGCTGTTTTAAATAAATGGTATCACTACACAAATTTAAAGTAGTTGTTAAAGACATAACCATAAAATACTCCAGCAATAAATAACACTATCATGTGATTACAATCATCAATCCTAGAATTCTTAATATGTTGACGAAGTCTAGAAAAAGGCTTGATTTGCTTAGCATCGATTGATAACTGATGCATTCCAATGGTTGGGTACCAGTGTAGTAGAGATAATGATTCTGTGATTTAAGTCTTGTGTGATGTCGTGAATAGAAAGACTTTCTATTATCCATGGTGGTAGAGATTAATGGAAGATAATGGATTCAACAAAACAAGATGGGCTTAGTTTATGGTACCACTGAGAAACAAAAGACTGATAGCTGAATTTCAAGACAAATTTTTTCAGAAAATTTACTTAAGCAGTACTAGTTCCGGGGTATTTGATCTAGGGTCAGAAAAAGTCATTATTCTAAGAACTCGTTTTTGCAAAGTTGTAGGCTGGGTTTGTAGGAGACCCCAAAATTGAATACTATAAGAGAGGAAGGGGTAAATTAGAGAATAAGCTCTCTGGTGTTTTGCGGTGTCCCGTTACAGTGTCCGTCTATTTCTCTTAAGTTTTGGCTTACAGTACAAATTAACTTTGTTGTAGTTGTACAAATGAACAATGATACTTCAGTATAGCACTGGCACGGGAAGACTATCAGCCAGTTAAACTAGTCGAAGTATTAGTCCGTTAACAGTTCGCGTAGTTATACGTTTGTTACTATTGTCACAGTGGAAATAATGTAAATTCTGAACAGCCTTAGCATCTAGCTAAAAAAGTAAAAAAGTTGAAGTAACATTGTTGAAAACGCCAGTGCTTCTTAGTCTAGCCCAGTGCGAAAAAAAATCGGTGGTTGGCGGGACGTTTGCCGTTCCTAATCAACAATCTAAGCATTCCGGAACGTTACTAAGTTTCAGTTTCAACTGATTTATTTGCCAGAAAAAAGTTCATATACATACAGACATCCAATATATTACAAAAATGTTATTTAAAGATTAAAGAGACGTAGATTATAAGTTAATGAATTAAAAGTATTTTTCTGGCGAGGAAGCTCAAATAGAAACCTTGGGGCTTATTGAATGAGCTTCGACATCAACAGTATCGACAAAGTGGCAGATGAACGATAACTATGCAAAGAGAATGACCAGACACGACGTAGCATGTTAGTACTGTGGAAGTCATGAGAAAGTCAAATGCAGTAGGCTACTTATCTCAAAAAAGATCAGGAGGAAACGGAAGAAATCAGTCACGATTATGGTTTAAGGACAAAATATGACCTTCCTTTGAATGGTAAAAATCTATATGGACATTTATAAGAAGAAAATCTAAAGAGGAATGGGAAAAGATCAGTTAATTCATTTTTGCCGGTTTTAAAGGAGCTGTGTCACGAAATTCAGCTAAATTAGGCAATTACTAAAATGCCCTTTAAATTAAGAGAAACGTAAAAATAACCGCTTAAAACATTAAAGGAAGGTTAAAATAACACAACAGATTCAACAGCTGCCACGGATGGGCAAAACTGAAGAAGATCGAAACGGATTGAAATTGGGGTTTTTGAAAACTGTTCAGACTAACAGTTTTTCAAAGTTGATCTCTGCTGTTTGCAACTTCAAAAATACTGCTCAGGAGATATATTTGTTTGTCTCGAATCTCTGATTTTGTCATTTACATGTAATTTCTTTGCTTACTTTAAGTTCCATAGCGACTGAGGGCGAGTAATTGGCAAAATTGAACAAAATGAACTGGACTGCCGTGACACAGCCCCTTTAACTATTGCTGTTTCTTCGCGATCCCCCCACCCTCTCCCTCAAAAAAATAGAACCTGCAAATAAAAACAACCGCAAAAAATATTATACATATAGTCAAATTATATAGTTTCACAGAAGTCGCTCTTTAAAAAGGATGTTAGAGCAGTTGGTTATTAACTTGAATCAGTCTGTGCTCGCATTAGATCATTCGATCACACACTGTAATCACGAGAATAACACAACTGAGAAGGACATCGTTAATCTGGTGATCTCGTACCCAGATCTTCCACGGCTAAGCGTAAGACAGGTAGAGATCTGGGTACCAGATTAGGACAACGGTATTAATTTCCGAATATTTTCGCTTCAATAAAGTCCAAAAACTGAAATGGCTTGCTTAGAATCGCAAAAGGGAATTTCAAGTGAGAAAATGTTGGCTGGGGTCATTACGAGAGTAATTTTGTTTTAGAGCCCGACCCCTGGTTTAGGCTATTTCATAGTTGCAAAAACTCTCACTTCTAACACGAGGCTAAGTTTTAGTTGTGACAATGAGTTTTATTTGCATGAGAACTAAAAATCATTATCATAACAATGGCTTGGCACTTAGCCTCCCTTTTTTAGGCTTGGTACAACTCGGAAATGGCCTATATATTACTGCATGCACGTAAAAAATAAAAAGAGTTTGACCAGTAATCGGCTCCTGGTTTGAAAGGTTGCTCGTATAAAAAACCCGGGGATAGTGCTAATCGGCCCTCAACGAACTGGGTATAGGGTATGACTGGCTACAGTACCAGCTCCCATGGGCTCCTGCTAGCACTTGACCCCTAAGACTTAATTGTTTCGATGATGTTGTGTTGACCAGCATTTACGTAATACGTTACTTGATTTTAACTTCTAGTTCATGACGCCATAATGCAAAGGACCTAATGCATAGCGCCGGTTCACTGGTATTCCTGTGGAGCGAAAACTATTAAGGCCCAGCATGCTTTGCAATCAGCGTTCGAGACTGCTTGCACCGCGTCATTTTGTAAGGTAGGAAGGTTTCGGCTTTAAGCGGCCTCTTCCTAGCAAAATGACTGCGCAAGAACAAATGAAAAAGATGTTAGATGAGCTAATGGGAACCCAAAGGGATGGTAAGTAGTGATATATATACTGCGAAAGCTATACGGATGCCCACTGCTTCTTGCCATTGCATGTGTTGAAGTCTTTCCACGCTGATTGTATAAAGCTTACTTGAAATCTCTTTCTTACACCGGTTATTTTAATTTTGCATATTGACTAAACTAGAAAACTGGGTTGTGATGTCGACGGTAGCTCAATCAAGTGGAGTGAGTTTTTGTCTTACACATGTTTCCTTGCTTGTCGAATTTTACCTTAGTTATTTTATGCAAAAGGACGTTCTATTGCTTACGAAACTCATATGTATTTTTTAATGAGAACGCCTCGTTCATTCGTATTTGTAATAAAACTGTATGGTATTCTAGAAAGAGAAACTTTACATGAATTTACTGGATGATCTAAAGTTTCTTTTGCTGAGAACGAACAAGACTAGCTAATATATACAGCATAACAGAAGTCCCTTGCTGTAGTTTCCTTATTGGCTTATAAAAATTAAAAGTGACATAGGCTTAAATGATTGTCAAAGATTATGCCTTTTTAACGAAAAATTTGCATAGATATTTTTTGTCTAAAATAACCTTCTGGTTTAAAAGGTTTCAACCCAGTTTGATTCTCAATTTCTTTTGTCTCCTAGCTGTAGTTATTCATTATCATGAATAATTAGGGCTAGAAAACAGGGAATAAAACTAGGTCGAAACTATTTTAACCTGTATTTTATTTTGACCTACAAAATACCACTTGCATGAAAGGTGTTCTAAAGACAGCTGTTTATGTGGCAATTTAATAATAAAGTTTACGACCAAAATACAAACAGGGCTAAAAATTGGCAGTTGCATGATAGCTAATGCATGATCCCTCAGTATGTGACTACAATACAATTGTATTGTAGTCACATACTGAGGGATCATGCATTAGCTATCATGCAACTGCCAATTTTTAGCCCTGTTTGTATTTTGGTCGTAAACTTTATTATTAAATTAATTATTAGAGTAGCACTTTTGTGAAGTTCAGAGGGAAGAAAAAAATAGCAAGCAGTTTCCTTGGAATCCCTTTTGTCTCCTTTTCTTCGGCTCTGGTTCATAATAATTTTACAGACTGAAGTGAAAAATTCTGAGCGATTTAGAAGTATATTAACACTAGTTTAATGTTTTTGTTGTCAGCTGATTCTGAGTCACCCAGAATATTTTGTGTTCCATTTTTGGTAATTACCCTGCTTCAACATCATTTAAGAGACCACCAAATTTTAACCAGGGGCACTAAGAATTATGGAAGAAAACTGGTCCAACTGGGAACTAAGGCCTTGTCCACTGGTAATATTATAAAACAGAGGGTTTTACAATAGCAGTCCTAACAAAACATGTGTTTTCATCCATTAACATGAAAACAATAAGCAAGCATTTAAAAAAACTCCACTCCTTGGACCGTTTTTGAAAACTTTCACTTTTTGGTTTTCGAAAACACTGTTTACATATGGACAGAAGGCTGAATCTGAGAAAAAATCTTCATTTTCAAAAATATCTGGGTATGTTACAGGTCAAGACGATAATCAGGTTAAATTTTTTAACGTAGGTTGATTCTCAATTTCTTTTGTCTGCTAGCCCTAATTACTCATAAATTAGGGCAAGAAGACAAAGGAAATCTAGAATCAACCGAGGTTAAAAAATTTTAACCTGAATTTAATTTTGACCTGTAACAGATACATGTGGATGTGGCCTTAGGTCTGTTCTTAATTTTTAGCCCTGTGTGAACTAAACTGGAGCAGCTGATTAGAAATGTCCTTTACCTGACATTCGCTTATTCATTCTTGACTCTGATGTTGTTTCTTTATACATTTTTGGAACAAGATTTTTCTCCTTTTTATTGGTCTGCTTCCACCCTTGAATAATTGGGGACCTTACAAAAGGGTGACAACAGCAGCAACAAGAATGCCAAAAATTGTAGGTTTATTGGGCGAAAACAAAAATTTCTTTTCCTTTGCAACTACAACATGTGATGACCAAATTTGTGTTCTAGAGAACATGAAGTATGGGAGGACAATAGATTTCGGGGTATCTATGAACTCAGATGCAGTTCCCTCCCTTGTCGTAAGGTAATTTTGTCGTTGAATTGTAAGGTCCCTAATGAGCGCTTGGGGTATACACTGTAAAGCTAAGGATAGTCTATCCCATCCTTCAATCATGTTACAGTGGATGAATGTAATGCTCCCTGGGTTCCAGTGATATAAACCCCACTGTCCTGTTGGCCATATTTAACAAACACATTATTATGTTACAGGTTTGGATGAATGTAATGCTCCCTGGGTTCCAGTGATATAAACCCCACTTGAAGTGAGTTGTCCTGTTATTCTCCGTAATTACTTTATTAGGTCCCAACTGGTACCTTTCAAAGCACTGCATAACAATTTTTCGCGGGCTTCTGTCCCAATTCTAAGCTTTTTCGACCAGCAGGAAAAGTTTGCGTCTTCCGCGACTTGTGTTACTAAATTGACCCTAGCGGCAAAGGCAGCCTTCATTCGTAAAATTCTTTGTTTTGAGGTGTTTAAAATACTTTTCGGTCAATTGGTTGAGAGGATGCTCGAAAATAAAAGCCTTCATGAACGCGAAGCCCCTCCCCTGGCAGGAGATTGCGCCTCTGGCACATATTTTTGGCCTTACTGGTCAAGAATGTTCCCTTACCTGCTAAGCTAAAATTTAGGGAGAACACTGCGATTGTTTAGTACACATAGTGATTGTGATTAGGGATAAGATATTGTTCCCCAGCATTAATACTAGATGTTGAATGCTTTCTCAAACAAGGCTCACTGATAGTCATGTACATGTAGTGTGAGCAAGTTCATTGGATGCGTAAGTAGGGCGACGTAAGTAGGGCCAACAAATTTCAATTTTTATTTTGTTATGGTTGAGGGAAAGAACATACTTTACTTACAACTGAGGCACAATCAATGCACTTTCATTCTTAGATATTTAAAAATACAACTTAATGTCTTATCTCAAGAAGTGATTGAACTACTTTCAAGACATATATATTATTGCTGAATTGGAGGACATTTAACAGAAATTTGAATGATCAAAGTTCTTCATATGTGTATTGCAAAGGGAATATCAAATTTAAATGGGACTGTAACTTTGAAAATAAGTATTAAATCCATTCCATTTACTTGAATAAATTTCCATGAATAGCAAAGAGAAATGATTTTGCAAAACAGGTGACTGATCATTAAGAGAGGGCCACAGTTTGCGTTAGCTAATTTCCTTCAAAACTGAATAACACCAAACACTTTAACTACTCAGTCCTTCACTGTCAGCAATACGTTTTATTTAGAAATGGTGGTTAACATGCATTATCTGGTACAAAATGTGGTGTGTACTTTTGTCTTTTTGAAAGGCTAAACACTGCATTGTCAACCTAACTGTGTACTGTGGACACTCAGTTACAATGAGTATGATTTGCTGAAAATTACAATCTATTTGGAGATGCTTTTATGGGTATTGTCTTAAGTCACAAGCATCATTATAGAGCATGAAATAGAATGCAAAAAACAGATATTTTGGAAAACTACTATAGAGCACTGACTCGTGGCAATACAACAGAATGTTAGATGTGGTACAATGTGTATTATACATTAATAACGATAGGGTGTACTAAACAAAACCATCACAAACTTGAAAACAGACAGTTTACACAAAGCAGCCTCATGATTAGATTTATACAAGTGACTTGATGTAGAACACAGGTTTTAAGCAGAACAAGACAAGAATTCTGTAGAACACAAAGTAGTCGTGACATGTACAGCTTTGTCACCAAACTGATTATGATTATGGAGGCGAATTTTATCTCTGGAGTCAATTAAATGTATCCTGTTTAGTTCTTTAAGCCATAAATCTTTCTCAGACATAATTTTGTTTAGCTTTTAATTTTTTTTGTTCGTCATCTTCCTTACTCCTTTAGGTGCAAGGCCAGGAGATGAAATCAAGTTTTCTGATGACCGTGTCTGTAAGAGCTACCTTATGGGACTCTGCCCGCATGAACTTTTCAACAACACAGTGAGCAGTTTTTATTCTTTTTTTTAAATGTTCTCAAGTAACGTAATATCTTAGGTCTTGCTCACACAAGTCTGTTTGAATTTGAAAATGTATCTTTTGTGGTTCAATATTATCCTTGCTTTAAATTTTATTTCCTTTTGTTTTAAACTTATTATCATACATTACTATACTCCAAAACAAAGGGAAATAAAAATTTAACCAAGGATAAAATTGATCCACAACATAACCCACCTTTTTTAGCTTACAATAGTGGTTTTGAATGTCAGGAGAGTGGTTTTGTCTTGTCTCCAATCTGATTAAGTTTATAAATGAATAATATGATATACAATGCTTCATACAGTGTGTGAGTTCAGGACTGCACAATTCAGTCAAACCCATAGCAATAATTCTGCACAATACGCAGTGATGCGGCCATACACAATTTAGTTTCTAGAAATACATGTTTTACTCTTCATAGCCAAGATTTTTAGAACCTTTTAAGTGCTTTTCAGGCCATTTTCATTTCAAAAACAACACTGTTTTTGCTTTATTTAGTCAGCTTTGATGAACAGTCACGAAAAGCTGCCAGAAGGCCTTCTTTGTAGCTTTGCGCTGTCTCGGCACTATTTGTTTGTGAGATAGATTAGATATATACATGATGACAGGGATTTTCAACAATTTCTCTTCCAGTGGTGCCAAAAGTCAAAATTCCAAAAGACAGTTCTTATTTTAATAATTTGAAAAACATGAGCTATTGAAAATTTATATGTCGGGTCATTTATGGGAATCCCTCCTCCCTGGGCAGTGGTATAAGTGAACACTGCAAATCAGTGCAAGACACTGATCTCAAGTTGGCAGTGTAAAACATGTTAAGGGAACAGATCACTCTAATGACTGCAGACCTGCAAATAATAGTCAGTCATCAGACAAGTAAAATTGGCCCTTGTCTGACAAAATGTCAACTGTCGTTGGACATGATGTGTATGTTGTAGTTAATTTTTTTTATCTCAGGTAGTTTTTATTTTTCCTTTGCTTCAACTTCATTAGCATACATTATCATACCCCAAAACAAAAGAAAAACAAAAATTACCCGAGATAAATAATTCACTGCAGCATGTGCAGACAAAGTTAATGCCTAAGACTATCATTTTGCAGACGATCAAAATCTATCTTGACTGCATGTAAATTATACTGTCAATGAAATAACACTGTTGCAGTGAACATATGGTAGTAGTCAGGCTACCTGTGAATCCATCCTGTTAATCATTAAAGACACATAATGTGTACGTGGTGGAAATTGACCACCATTAATTTGTTCTGTCCAACCCTAGTGGTGTTTTAACCAGACATAAGTTATGCTGCACAGTGTTGACATCTGCCAGATAAACTATCACCTGTCCTGTTCTTGAGTAATTATTAAGGCACTGTGTCATTCCTTCAACATTTAGGTCTCCTGCTACCCAGAGGTTTTACTGTGATCATAATTTTTCTAATTAACATTAGTTTGTCGTGAAAGATATGCCATGAGGAAATGAAGGGAGAAAAGTTGCTATTTTTCCTTATTTACTTGTGACTTACACTTTGCTTGTCTGTCACAATTTACAATGTGATTTAGCACCCTTACTTTTATCTGTACAGTTACTACTTATTTTTACAAATTAGGTGTTCCAGAGAGTATAAACAGTTTTGTGTTTGTGTCCTGTCTATCCCTGATTAAGTCTTGTTGTGTCCCTTTCATGCTATCCATTGATGAACAGTGGATCTTCAAAGCTGTAAGTTAAAACTGTTCATTAAGCCATTTTTTCCAAGTAAATTTTCTTAATTCCATCATAACCTCATTACCTGCAACTTGCCATTTGGTGGATTTCTTGTATGTTTCTCCTAGAAAATGGACCTTGGTCCTTGTAACAAGATTCATGAAGCAGCTCTCAAAGCTGACTTTGAACTTGCATCCAAGAAGAGGGACTATGGTTATGATGTAGATGTAAGTAGGGTACATGTAAAAGCTAAGGCAGAAGTGCTGGAAGTAAGATTGGTCATATTGGACATTTACTGACCTATACTATTGTGTGCAGATCATTAATTTATTTTTATAACTCAGTCTTTTGCAAACTATTGTTAGTGATAATTTATGAGAATAATTTTATCAGAATGCCTAAAAACGTTTCTGCATAAGGTGTGAAGGCATAGCCTATGTAAAGCTCCTTAAAAGCAGCTGAATTACAGTACAAGAAACTTAAGCTGCAAAAGATGCCTTATTATAATAATTATTATCTTTATCTCACTGAAAAATAATTTATTTCCCTGCAATATTATTCCATGGCACTCTACATATACAGTCAAACAGACCCTGCTGTCTGCATGATGGCAGATTGCAGTATTTCAAAGAAAAAATGAAATTAAGGGCGCTTTCCATTGTCAGAACTGACTGGCCAGACGCTGACCATTCCCATCACAGTGGGAATTTCACTTTTAATAAAAACTATCCAGCCAGATCAGTCAGATCCTAAAATAGTATGCATGAAGGAGATGGCTTTTCAGCAAAAACCCTTGGAAAAAGCTTATTGCTTTGTCACTTTGACTGGTCCGACCATGGTCTGGCCGGCCAGTTCTGACTTTTGGAAAGCGCCCTAAAGTGTCTGACCAGTAGTGGTATAAATGCCCTTGAATAGCCATACTTACAGTTGAAGGCTCCATGAGATACAGGTTCATGTAGCTCCAAAAATATGTAAAGAGCTGTGTCATGAAATTTATTAAAATTCAAACTGCAGGAACTGTCACCAAACTGAATGAAACATAAAAATAACCACTAAAAACGTTAAAAGAAGGGAACACGCAAAAGGAGGCACAGATCGACAAATTTGAAAAGGAGTGAAATGGGTTGTAATATTATTGTGGTTTTTGAATACTTGCTAGCCTAACAGTTTTTCAAAGTTCATTTTTGTTGTTTGTAATGTTTGATATGATGTTTGGGAGTTGTATTTATTTGACACAAAGCTGTGATCTTGTCATTCACAAGTTATATCTCAATTTTCATAACAAATGAGGACATGCAATTGGCATTATAAACCAAATGAACTCGCCAGCTATGGCACAGCCCCTTTAAACCCTAAGATCCAAATTTGAATTCTCATTTGTTCCCCTATTCATTTCCTACAGAAGTAGTAGGAAGAAGTCGATAAAATATCAAGTAAATTCATCTTGTGTGATCATGTCCATAATTCTCATGGCCACTCTGTTTTACAAAGCATTGATATTACAAGGAGAAATTTGATACTGATCACTCTTAGGGCTTAAAGGGTTAAGACATAGGTTAGACACGGTTTTTGAGAGACAAATTACAGGCTAATCGGTAGTTGTTTTATCTCCTAAATTAACCAGCAAATGGAACATCTTGAGTCTTTTATCAAGGACTGTGATAGGAAGATTCAGATTGCAAAAAAAAGGCTTGAAGAAACACAAGATGATCATCAGCATGTCCCTGAGGTAGGTGTGTGCTTTATGGTATTGAATTACAGGGTGAAAACTGTTTGTCAGTCCTCTCTTCATTCCTTCAGTCTAAACATTCATGGGCTTTACAATGTATGTTGCTTAGAGGCCATTTCCTTGTAAATCTACTGTCTTATTTTTCTTCATGACAGCAAACCAGGGAAAATACAATCAGGCCATAACATTTAGCAAGGATTCAGTTATTGATGGCTTTGCGGTTTGTTCGTGTCCTGAGCTGATTTTTTTAATTTGTTAAAGCTGATGCTCCTGAATAAGTGCCACACCAAAACATTGAAAATCTAATAAGCACCACAACTCTCAGACTGATCTGTACTGGTGAATGCTGCTAAAAGGTTTTGTCTTTTAGTCAGTGAAAACTGAAAAAAACTGTAGAAATGATTGCAAAAATTACTCAGGTTAAACTTCAGTGGCTAACATTATTTTAATAATGCTATTTTTTTTATTATTATTAGGCCCAAGCAGTTCATGACCTGGCAGAACAAATAGGAAAAAAGCTTGCAGAAGCTGAAGCTGTTGGTTTGTACCTTTACACAGTGATTAAAATTTAAACTTGAAAGCAGTGTACAATCCTCTGGGATGATCAGAAAGCATATTTATCACTCCTTCTGCAAACTCCCTACTCCATACCTTAAATTTATAAAACACATTGTGCCCTGGCCAGCATAAACCTTTTTATTACAATGGACTACCTCGCTTGGCTTAAGGCTGCCAGTTAAGTACAATGTCTTCTCGTGAAAAGCCAATAAACGTCCTTAGAGTCATGAGAGTAAAAGCGTGTGTTGTGTACACATTGTACAGGTGCTGAGGGCAAAGTAGAGGAATCAATGGAGCTCATGAAGGAGGTGGAAGACTTGAAATCAAAGAAACGAATGGCTGAGGTAGAACTTTTATATATGTATGTTTTTTAAGGGGTGCCAATGACTTCTCCGTAGTTGCTATGGAACTCAACACTTGTGAAGAAATAACTTGTAATTGCTGGAATCAAAGCTCTGACAATCACTTGTGTCTCTCAAGCGCTGTATTTAAAATTGCAAAAGCAGAGGTGAACTTTGAAAAACTGTTAGCCTGTCTAGTTTCCAAAACCTCGATTGCAATCTGCTTTGATCTTCTTCAATTTTTTTCCATCCTTCCTTTGTATTTTCTTTGTTATTTTCAATGTTTTTAAGTTCCTATTTTTATATTTCTTGCAATTTGGTGTCGACTTTCTACTGCCTGAATTTAGTTTAATGTCGTTTCACAGTTCCTGATTCAAGTTCATGATTTTGTTAAGCTTCTGCTGCTGTGCTGTGTACCATGTACAGCTCATGGCAGGAAAAAAAAAAGAAAGAACGAGCGAAAGAAGAGTTGAGTTGTTTTCCATAACAGATAGTGTACAAAAGAATAAATACTGACAGCATATAAAATGGTATTTACCCAACAGGAGTGGTAATACCTTGTGTCGTTTGGTACAGTGTATATTGCATTAGTTGAGGCTTTTTGTAATTTAGGCCATACTTGTTGATTTCCAATGTATTTCTATACTTGGCCATTTAACCCGTTAAGCCCCAGTATCCACATACAAATTCTCCAAACTGATCTCCATACATTTCCGTAAAGAATTAGTTGAGAGAATTTGATAAAACATCAAGACGTTTTCTCATTTGTGATCATTTTTTATATTCTCACAACCTTATCTCTTGACAATGTATGGATATCGTTAGGAGAAAATTGCTGTTGGTCACTATTGGGACTTAAAGGGTTAAAGTGAGTACCTCAGGCAGTGGGTCAAGTGTTGAAAACAGGCATGTTCCTTTTTCCTCTCTAGGATATTTATCGGGAGAGCGTACCATCATCGTCTCTACAGCAACAAAAGTTGAGGGTCTGTGAAGTGTGTGCTGCTTATCTTAGCTTGTATGACAATGATCGCAGGTTTGTATGAACGGTCATTGAAACAGCCCTTTAGTTCTGGTTGGTAAGGTTAGAAAAGGTTTCAACAGTTTTCCCTTTTTGCTACTTAACCAGGAGGACCGGTTTGCATAAGCCCCTGCAGAAGTAGTGCATGTGCCAGTAGATTTAGTAACAGTCTTTGAAATTGGTATCATGTTAATTAAAACCCCTGCAAGTATGCCACAATATGTGTATGTAAATAGGAGATATTTCAATACCACCTCATTATTCCACGCCCGAGAGGGACTGGGAAAACTTCGTACAGGTACTAGGCAAGGATCATACTATAGCTCTTGATGGTATGTGGTTTGTACCGTGATGGAGGTAATTTGTATTCAGAAATACCATCGCCTCTGCGCGCATAGCATGCCTTTATGTAAAGTTCGCGTAATGGTCTCCCGTTATGTCTCTTATCTGTAGATCTCATCAATTGCAACTTCAGCAAAATAACTTTCAATATTTTCTATTTCTTGTTTCCAGGTTAGCTGATCACTTCGGTGGAAAACTTCACATGGGATTCATCAAGATTCGCGACAGACTGAAAGAACTACAGGTACTTCCGGTGGTTTCCAGGGCGAGAAGTCTAGTGAATCATACTGGTTTGCGTTTGTTGACCATCAGTTTTCTACACACACAGTGTTGAAGAACATCTGAAGCTATACCAACATATCAAACTTAATGTAATGGGCTTTATTAATATTTACATACCACGATACCAATTCGTAGCACTAGTTAAGTGTCCTCAATAGCGAGATTCCGAAATAGAAGCGCACATTTCCATTCACCATTTTCACTGAGACCTTAATGTACCTTGTTTGCCCTCCCCCCCCCCCCCCCCCCCAAAAAAAAACTTTTGTCTCCGATTCCTTTTGGGACGACTGTAATTTTTGGGGGCGGGGGTGGGGGGGGAATAAACAAGGTGCATTATGGTCTCGGTGAAAAGGGTGCCTTAGGAAAAAATGGTATGTATAAGAGGGTTAAACGTGCATCATTTGTGAGATAGTCATAAATGTATAATGACCCGAAGCAATTATAATATATTTTTACATTTCTTTTTTTTTTGTCAGAATGTTTCATTCAGTGTTCTTTACAATGAGAAAAATAACCTGAAATTGTGTATGTGACTCCGGAATAGGGAGAGTCCTTAACAGCGAGAGTTAATTTCAGTCATAGGTCTGTCATTTATTTTTGGCTGGGATTTAGCCACCGTTCGTATCACTATGCGGGTGTCCGCATGACCAAAGTTGACTTACGCTTCATTAAAATACTCCTGAAAAGTAACCCTCTGTTGCGGTTCATTCGTTATGGGGATAGTCTGTGAAATTTTCTTTCATCGCGAAGGCGTAATGCATGTGGTTTTCTATTCGCTGTCTCTAGGAGGGAGTAGCTAAAAAACGCTCGGAGAGAGAAATGGAGCGCATGCGCAGACGGGAGGAACGAGAACGTGAGCGGGCACAAGAAAAAATGGAACGGGAAAAAAGGATGAGAGAAAGAGAGCGAGAAAGAGAAAAAGAACGGTTGGTATCAGGTGTTTCTTATGAATCTCGGATAAATACTTTTACAATTAGGAAAATTATAACTAAAAGTAACTCCTGAGTTAAAGATTACTTTGAATGTGATGTTACACGGAACGATTCGCAAAGTGGAACAATGTTGTAACTATTCAAAACAATGTTGCAACGCTGTGTTGCGCTAAAAATCGTCGTTGCGAATCGTCTCGTGTAACATACCCCTAAGATTTATTGATCGTTCGAGAGGCTACATTAAGCCCTCGACAGACTGTTGGATGTGATGTCCAAGCACCTTGTAGAGGGTTTTTAAAGAGTCTTGTCTACTGTGTTGTGTAAATCGTCTTCCTGGCGCCTGGGTGTCTGCTGAAAAATTTCTCGTGTTTGATATACGGTCGAACCTCTTATAAGCGACCACCCAAAATGCGAGTGATCGCTTACGAGAATTGATCCATAAGGGGTCTTCTTCCTAGAAGAGATTTGAACACATCTACATTTTGGAAGAGATTCATTGAATGCAATTTCTTAGTTACAATATGTGCAGTTTCGTGTGGTCACTAAACGTTATTCCCATACTCCCGGAAGTGTAGTACATTGAGCGAACATGGAGATATACCATGCGCAAGGCGACCGCTTAAACGAGGGCAAAAAGAATGGAAAATTTCTAAAACTGTCATCCAAAAAAGTCTTCGCGGTCTCTTATGAGAGGTTCCAACTGTAGTGATTTGACTGGGAAAATTTTGGTGTTTTGGATAGGTGGTCACTTACGGGAGGTGTTTGCTTATTGAGGCTCGATTGTATCACTTTGCACATTATTTAATTCCCTCTTTTGTTCAATACTCGATCTTTTGAGTGAAAAAAAAAAAAAAGAAAAATACTTAAATTATCCTCTCTCCTTATGGGACTTTTCAGGGATAATGAAACAAGTGTGACATAACATGGTTAAAAATACCAACTGGTAGGAGGCAAGCCAGTTGGCTATTTCACAAGCGTGACCGAGGATCCGAACTCGGGACTACGCAGAACAAATCCAGTTAGCGGTCAGGGCAGGACTTGAACTCGGGGCCTCCGGATTACAAGTACAGCGCTCTAACCGCTCGGCCACGCTGCCTCGCTGAGCTATAAAAGATCCAACAGGGAAAAAGTGTTGACAGTAAGTTTGATTTCATATTTTGACCTTTTTGTTTGACACGAAGTGTTTCTTTTTTCCTTTTCTAAGCAGAAGTCGCCGTCGCCGCAGCAGAAGCCGAAGTAGAGAGAGGAGAAGAAGAAGAAGGTGAGACTTGTAAGATATTTTTGTTGTTCATAAACCCTGTGTGCTAAGCACGGTGCTTTTTTTAAAATTGCGACTGACTACAAGCGTGGTAAACAAATGTATTGATATTCTATGGAGCAGCTTGTTTAGTACTGTCGTTGGGAAAGCTCCCTATTAATATGCAATTACAGAATGTTGCATCACGTGAACAATTAAATTTTACCTAGAGGGAAAAAATGGTGAAATCACAAGAGGACAGGGTTTTATAAGCCAACAGAATTACAGTAACCTAGATGAAAAGGAAGCGAAGTTTATTGCTTGGCGGAGGCAACAAACAAAGCTACATCCCCATTACGATTTGATAGAACATTAGGTAACGGACAAGGAGTTACAGCTATAAGACCTTAAAGTGCCTCATGGCTGGTATGAAAGTCTATGTTATCAACCCTTTCGGCCCGCGCGTGAGAACACCCAGGGCGTGCGAGCTCGCGCGTTCGATTTTGCCTTTTCCCCTTTCCCCTTCTTTTAGAACGACTGCCACGCGTGCTATTGATATCTCATAGTTCTTGAACAGTCTTACCCCATGTTTGGAGAAGAACTGACAGTGTTAATTTGATTGAAAATGATCTTTCAGGAGTCGGTCGAGGTCAAGGTCCCGTTCCAGATCGCGATCAGGGTCTAAGTCTCGTACGAAGACCAACAGGACGTCTTCCCGCCGCTCTAGATCCCGGTCTCGCTCTGCCTCCCCGAAAAAACGCAGTAAATCACCGCGACGGTCTCCGTCAGGATCGCGCTCAAGATCTAGAAGCTAGAAGTCCCTGGTAGTTTTTAGACGTAACCCGACTGGAGGTTCATTCACCTGGCTGCTGTAAAATTCACCTGGCTGCTGTAAAAATTTCCGGTCTGTTATTTTATTGACGAGATGTTGCTTCTGTGGTCAAGCTTCAGTTCTTGCTGTGCTTTCTTTCAGCAAAGCTTAGCGTAACTGTTGTACTCGTAGTGCTCCCTATTCAGCTGACAAATTACTATCTCTTATTTTTTGTGCGGTAGGTTTTAATGGCCTATTTCAACGAAACTTGTAATGCTTTGCCTGTTGAATTTGTTCGTTGTAGCAGAATTATATACACCTTCACTTGTCATCTCTTCCGTTCATCAGGTTCGTTAGATTTAGTGTTGTGTTAATAATTAGAAAAAGTGATTGTCAAATTGTGTCTATAACGATTGCAACTAGTGAATATATTGTGTAGCGTAGTAAAAATCTTTAATACTAAACTGAAAGAAATACCAAATTTTCCCTTGAAAATGGCTAGGTTGTCTTGAAATTCAAACTACAAATTTTAATTACAACCCATTTTTACAGCTCTATTTAAAACTGCCAAAATATCTTGCCATCTAGATGAACCGATTTTAGTACTTACGATCTTGGCGCCTTTCTTTGTTTGTTAGGCTGAAGTAAGCTGTTTAACACTTTCAGAAGCGTTGAAATATGTCTAAAATTTGGTAGTTCGTGGCAAGTACGTGAGAGGACTGGGTACAAACTTACCCGTGAATACTTGCTCGTGAAGAAAAACATGGCGGAAAACGAAATACTCAATGTATCGGCGTAAGGACGCGTCACTGTACTTGTTTTTCATTCTCCTTCTATGTTTACCTGACTAAAATTTCAAAAAAGGGATCAGGTGATTTTGCTGCAGCTGCTGGATTTTATTCTTGTCCCAGCGGCTCGAGTGTTGTCCTTAACCACTTGCCCAAACGGGCAACCTGTGCAGCTTACACACTTGCCCAACGTATAATTCTACTTGCCCCGGGCAAGTGGGCAAGCGTTAGCCACTCGGCGTAACCCGCGAGTTACTTGCTACATACACCATTGTGGATTTTGAAAATTGAATATTTCTGGTTTGTTGAGGTTCTTCAACTGAAATCTTTTCAGAAGAGCTTATATGTGTAAAATTGCGGGAACGTCATTGGTTAGAACCTCGCATACTGTTCGATTCTCTTGCGATTTAAATTTCAGCTGTTCTACCTCGCAAATGTTTTGTCTCGTAGCCAGGGTTCGTACGCGTCTTGAAAACCCTTGAATTTCAAGAGTCCTTTTTCAAGGCCTTGAAAGTCCTTGAAATTCTCTTTCGTTCATTTTGGTCCTTGAATTTTAATAGAACATTGGCTAAGAAGCATCGTCACTATCACTGTCTTGTTCATTACGGAAGGTAATTCTTTGATAAGTACTCACAAAGGAATTTTCATAAAAATGGTTGCCATTAGGAAAAAAGGCCCATTATTATCAGAATATTGTTATAGTTTATTTGGAACCTTTCGTAAGAGTAATAAATAAGGTCCTCGAAATTTGAAATTGTGGTCCTTGAAAGTTCTTGAAAAGTCCTTGAATTTTACAGCAGAAAAAGTGTACGAACCCTGCACGGTAACGCAACGCCCCTCCCTTCCTCCTATCCTGTTGGGAGGAGCGTTTCAACTTGCCCACCTGGTATGGCTTACCTCAGGAGGCCGAAAAACGCCCAGTGAAAGAAAACAAAACAAAAGCATAAAAGGGGAAATGATTTTTCTCTCCACCCCGTCCCTCCTCCCTTAGTCTTTTTCTTGGCTTTTCAAAATGGCAGCTGCGATCAATGTACCTCTTAGGGTGTGTTCCTTTCGGCGAATCCAAAAACGGATTTTTGATCCTAGATTTGCCAGATTTCGCGGTCGAAAGGAACGTGAAATCCGAAATTGGATTTGTAACCCTGGTAACCTTTCGCCAACGCGTGCAATATGCACGACAGCCTCTCAAGACATGACGTGTTTTCTATTGTTTGACAAATTATGCGATTAAACCGGCGTGCAGGTAAAGAAAGAAGGTAAAGTACAGGTAAAGAAAGAAGCGCATTAAAATTGAAAATTATCTAAAGAATGTCGGCCAGTTTGATCCAGTTCCATAGCTCGGATTTATCGAGTGCCTGTCGCGTCTACAAGCGAGTTTGTAGTTAGATAGCAGTTCATTTGTTACTTTTACTTATTTCTGATTTCAAGCAATCTTTAGAGACAAATGGTTAGTATATGGATATTTTAATGTACCAGGAACAATCTTCTAGTGTTTTCAGATGTTTTGCGGCAAATGGCAGCAACGGGAATACTTCAACTGGAAATACCGCTGGATCATCTGACTAATTTCGGATCCACCGTGAATGGAACAGCGTAGATCACTAATCCGTTAATCTGGATTTGGATTCTTCGGATTTCAAATCCAATCAATCCTTTTTCAAAAAGGATTCACCAGATCAAAAATCCGGATTTAGATTTGCCAAAAGGAACGCGAAATCCGTTCTTAGATCTAAAATCCGTTTTTGGATTCACCGAAAGGAACACACGCTTAGTTTCCGTCAACAAACGCCTTCCCTGCAGGCTACTTATGTAAAAAGTCTCTCTGATGCCATTAAATCTGCCCAGGCGGTGGTCACGTGAAAGGCCGGTTTTAGTTCTTGTTGACCGACAAGAAAGCGTGAACAGGGTGGCAATGTTTGGGAAACTCAAATTATTAGTAACAGTTGTTTACATCTGATTCATTTATTGTTTTTGCCTTTTACCATTTGAGCTTTGAATTTGCCCATTATTTCATCCTTGTGTTAATATATGATTAAGTTTTTTCCTTACTAGCTCACAGAATTTTTGAATTTTTCGAACTATACTGCTTTCGTAACAAGACTGATGGACGGCTAGTCTCCCTCGCAGCCGTTTTTTGGATGTCACGCAATGCGTGACATCCAAAAAACGGCTGCGGGGGAGACTAATGGACGGCCTGTGGATCTTTTATATGTTTGTGGGAAATTTTCACAGTTAGACCCAAGCGATCCATACATTTTTGGACCGAACTTTTTTCGCCCTGGGTTATACGGAAAACATGAAGATAATCCGGGAAAAATTTATAAGTCGGCGCGCGGGGACATGAAATTTATGTATTATTCTGTTTATTATATAAACAAACATGCGTTAATGTAAGACAATCTGAGAGCAAGATCAAGAAAGCGACACTAATTGCCGTGGCTGCCGTGGCCCTTGGTGTCTTCTCTTATAGAGTTTTCACAAACACGAGCTAAAGTAGAAGGATGCAAGGCGACGACTGCCGCCCGGTTAGCTCAGTTGGGAGAGCGCCGGTCTGCTGAGCGGGAGGCCGTAGGTTCAAACCCCGGCCGGACCAACACTCCGGGTCTTTAAATAACTGAGGAGAAAGTGCTGCCTTTGTAATAACATCTGCAAATGGTTAGACTTTCTAGTCTTCTCGGATAAGGACGATAAACCGTAGGCCCCCCCGTCTCACAAGCCCTTGCACATGTAATAAATCCTTGGGACGTTAAAGAACCCACACACTCTTCGTAAAGAGTAGGGCACGTAGTGCCCGGTGTAGTGGTCTATCTCACTTTCACACTCATGTATGGGGGCATCATCACTCATTCCTTCAGTACTTGTAAACTGCACCTTAAGCAGTCTGGCAAAGTCCCCCAACCAGTGTTGTAAATTATCCCTGAAAAGCCCTGAGGGGAGTGGATAATAAGATATTTACAATTTACAATTTCGGCTGATGTTGTCTTAGAATCACCAGTGGGTCACTGATTGGCTGATTCTAACCACGATAAAATTATCGTATTTTTTACTTGTTTTTAGAAACGACTTACCCTATTAAACCCAGGATTAAACACTGATTAAAACTCTCAAGTTTGTGTAACAAATATCATGGTTTGAAATGACTGGATTAAGGGTTTCAATAACTTCTGACCCATTAAGTTCAATTGAAAATAAAGTCAGTTTCCAAGGTTTCTGTTTTCACTTGGTGGAATGACCTAGTAATTAAAATTCACAACGCGTCGAGCTTATTTTTCTTAAATCAACCTGCAGAGGTGATATATTATTCAGACCAATGTTGACACAGTTGCTCTTTACATACTCGAATATAGTGTGTTTGGATCGCTGTTATCAATTTCAGCTATTTCAGTGGGCCAAGCTTGGAATATTTGTTGCAGAATTAGGTAAGAAGAGCTCTAAAAAGTACCTACGTAGGATGTTGAGTTTGCACAATAGGGCCAATGGGGGAATTCCTCACTGTCAATTTGTGTAGTGAGGAGTAGTAAGCATAATAGACAGTTTAAGATACGGCAACCATGAACAACAGACTACATCCTACACAACTGAACACTGTTCAAATGATCCGTCCTTAATATCATTTATATTCTAATTCGCTACCCCGCTCAAACGAATATAAAACATTTATCATGTAACAAGCAACCTCAATTGGGGTGTGTCAACACGAGCCGTGTACGACCCTCTTTATTATGCCTTCATCAACAGAATGGATGGAAATAATACAACAAACAGAATGAAAACTCGGAAATGTAAAAAATTACAGCAAGAAAAACAACCCAACAAAATGATCTAAACTATGCTAGTATAACAATCATTCAGTAAACATACAAAACGTGCTAAACCTTTCATATAGCAGCATGCAAAAAACTGCGTCTAAGAGAAACCCCTGATCACTGGGTATTTAATTTCATTTACATTTCACACACTGGATGCAAAGTCTTTTAACAAAGGACCCAAAATCGTGCTGAGCTCCCTATGGCTGGGGGTGAATTAGTAACTTATATCCGTGATCGGCTTTAGTCACTCTAAACATCAAGTAGTACCCGTTAGCTTTAGCTGATTGCCCCATCCATACAAGACTACGGATACTCGCCGGACAAAACTGAATTAAAATCATTGAATCTAAAAATACCAGTTTTATTAATGCTGATTATCAAAAAGAGTATCGTAAGAAAGTAAGGATAAACCCGACGACTGTTTTCTGTGAATTATCTGTTCGGAGAAGCAAATATTGCCTATAATTTTCTATTACTTGAGGAAGGCTAGAAATTTCTGGATGACCGTTCCATTCAGGTACAATTTTCGAAGTTTATCTAACAAATTCCCTACGATTTTCTGAAGTTATAACTTCTCACATTTTACTCCCCATGTAACGCTAATTTTCGTCGAAAAAGTAGGGGTGTAATGATTCATATTCCTTGCGGTTCGATTCGATTTCGATTATTTCGATTCGATTATGTAAATGTTTCTTAATTCTTATAACATAACGCGTAATGTAAACAACATGCAACCGTAAACCCTCAATTTGAGAATAGTAGCAGGGACAGGACAGGGGCACCCAACGAGGATATAGTTCAAAACCACTTAACATAGCATTGTTGAACGTATTTTAGTATTCAGACGGTAGATATAGGCATTTTTTTATCCCCTAAAAACGTTTCATCTGTTCGGATTTCCTAGCTGAAAGTCTAGTGATCCGAAAATTATAGGGATAAAAACTTACCTTCCCGAAAATTCTAGGTGGCCTTTTTTAGGGTCAAAATCCGTTAAAAATGGGTAATTATACCATTTTGTATATGTTCGAAAATCCTCGGAGAGGCAGGCAAGCAAGAAATTTTACAACAAATGCTCCGAAAATTCTAGATCTCAAATCGTCTTCCGAACAGATATTTTCCCGAAAATTGCCGTTGGGTGTCCGTGACAGGAGGATTCACAGTCGCTTGGTTCGTCGCCATGTTTGAGAACCTGACAAAGAGCGTCTCGCACATAGTTTGCCTTACTTGGAAATTCTCAAGGGGTGGTTGAAGGATAGCATTTTTACCATCAGGCAACAAAAAATGGCGCACGAAATGCTATCGTCTTTGCTCGTCAATAATAAACGCACAATTTAAAGCGTTCTGGATTCCGATTTTACAATCTAATAACTCACTAAGGGCACCCTGGAAAAGGTGTGCAATAATCGAACCAAAATCGAAAGCAAACGTGGAAGCAAAGAATCGTGAATCGAACCGTCGGTCATAATCGCGATTAATCGAGAATTCGATTAATCGTTACACCACTACATACAAAAAAGGAAACCTAACATTTTCGGGTTCAAAAATTGATGGAGAGAGGAATAAGAAGAACTCTCACTCTTTCGTAAAACGTTCAATTGCGTCGAAAATTTTTGGGAAAAATAATACTGAAGCCCTTGTAATTTCGTGAAGACTTAAGTTGCCCTAGGATGACCAAACAGATGCAAATTTTATAGCGCCACTTAGAATGCATTTCTAGATATCTATTAAGTACTCTCGATAGCCGAAAAAGAGTTTTCAGTGTATTTAGGAGGAAACCACCGTTGGGTGTCCATGCACTGACGGGTCAATGTTAAAATAGACCTCATATCCACGAATACGTTTGAGGGTTTGAAAAAATGGCTTCACTTCAAACAGTTAAAAATCTATTATAAGAATACAGTCAAAGTTCTTACGACCACTCTCCCATTGAGTGAATAGGGAGCTTTAGCAACGACAACGGCGACGGCAACCAGGACGTCAAAAAAGCAACAGGTTTGCACGTGTATCACGCTTTTTTGAACATTTCTTTACCGTCCTTGCACGACTACGACGTGAAAATGCCTAATTGCAAGATTTATGGAGGACGTAAACAAGCGACGACGAATCTCTTTTTCTCTCTCTGAACTTGAGTGCGGTCCTCAAGAAATCAACTCTAGGGAAATTCGCCTACACTTGCCATTTTCAGCAAATTGGAATTAACGCGACAAAAAGTGAAAAAACGGGAATTCATTTTAACTGAAGTTTTCGCTGCCGTTGCCGTCGTCGATGCTAAAGCTCCCTATTAACACTAACAACAACAACAACAAAACAACAAATTTTATTGAAAATTGGAAAATAACTTATTACATTACTTTCCCACCCGCAAATGGCTTATAAACTAATCGAGGCGGGGGGAGCTGAAGACATATTACAAAACAAGATTTATATATGGATGGACTAAATAACAGTGAAGACACAACTATACAGTAAATAGAATTTAAACTAACATAAAACAAGTACATAACTCAGCCATAATATGATACATGAAACAAGATAACGAAACAAATAGAAGAAAGCAGAAGGAACACTTAAACATCAGAAATTTACGAAATGTTACGCGGAGCACACAAACACACGTCCGTCCATCTTAGCCACATCACGTGACACTAAACACGACCAGCATTGCGAAAGCCCGTCAGTGGACTATTACTTAAGCTCCATGCTGTAAAGCTCTCATAAGCCACCACAACTTCTTTATTGGTGAATTATGTATCGGTCATATCGAAGCTTCAACATGCCCCCCCCCCCGGGCAACCCCCCGGGCATTTGACTTTTTTGAAAATTATTGTTCAAATTCCCCCCTACCCGGGCCAAAATGCCGTTCAAATGCCCCACACTATGGTCTATTCAGGTGATCAAATGCCCCCACCTCGGGGACGTTTCACAGACACAAAACTGACAGAGGGACGGCGGAAACGCCTTCGGTTGTCGAACAAAACCTTTTTAAATATAACAAAACTGAGAAACACTGTTAGCGTATTTACTAAGAACAAAAGTCTCGTGCAAAGCGGCGGAAATCGCTGCTACAAGGTCACTGAATGCTCAAAGCGTTCTATAAAAAGACCCCATCTATTGAGATTACTACATCGTGACCATTTCACTGATATGCATCATCGCTCACTTTATTAACTAACATACTTGCAGTAGGTCAAAGTAGCTGACCTGAGCTTTTTATTTTATTTTATTTTATGTTGTTGTATTGAATCGCCGGTATAGGTATTGTATTTCATTGTATAAAACACAACAATAAAATACATTCATACATTCAAAGCCTGAATCCAGTATTAAGATATTTTAAAATTTAAATACTTCAAATACAGCACAAAGCTTGTTTAAGCCCTTTCCTCGAAAACAATTGGCCACAAAGGCACGATCTTTTCCACGAAAATCCTCTAACACCGCGTCCCCCATCATAGCTTGCCACGCCAAAGATTTTACATGAAATCGAGGGTTCAGTTCAAATTCCCCACCCCTAAAGTATGGGGATCAAATTCCCCACCACCTGGAAGACTCTGTTAATCAAATTCCCTCCTCCCCGGGACGGCAAAGGTGTCAAATGCCCGGGGTATGCCCGGGGGGGCATGTTGAAGCTTCGATTTGACCGATACATTACCGACTAGTCTTTTCCCGCTTGTTTTCTTTTGTTTTGTGTCCCCCAGGGCGTGAAAACAAAAGAAACCAACCC